CCTGAAACTCTCAGACTGAAGAAGTCTCTTGGAAGAGAGACGAAACGTTTCATTAAAGAAGAACCCGTCCAGAGGACCTATACAATTTTTGTCCTTCTGATTTTTTACCTGGATTACTGAGATGCATCAGGACAAGACTTTTATTGGTTTGCTAGAACTTGATTGTATCTACATACCAAAGTATTGAGTAACAGATTGTGGTGATAGGTATAGAGGAAATCTATGTATAACACGCTCAAGGTCTTCTGTGTAAAAACAGATTCTTACCAAGCTAATAATGAGTTTAATTTACAGGTAAATGATTTAAAATATATAAACCCCACAAAATATTTAAATATGTTTTGCTACAGTTTTACATGAAGATTCCACGTGGTCATTCAGTGAGTTCAGGATCTACCACGCAAAACGAAGCAACAGGTTATCTGACAGTATGATCGGTACAAAGCCTGAAAGGAACTGAGTACATACCAGCCTTGAATAAGATGAGACTTGACCTGTTGGTGCACGTCCCCTCAGGGAATATCATGATCTGGAACGAGGAAACACATATTCAAACATGTGCATGCACACATGAAAATACATTTTACTTTCAGTGCATATTTAAAAACACAACTGAACTTCTATTCTGAAATTGAAGTTTTGCTTTGCATTCAGAGTGCATTCTCAATCCTGGTTCTCAGTCAAAGCGTCACACTTATGGCGCACTTTACCTCAGGATCTACAGTCACTGGCAGACATGAGACTTTTTACAAAAAATTGAAATACTGGCTGAAAGTAAAACACTGTGAACACCGAAATATAATCTGTACATGTATTCTAATGTATTTTCTTTATGTAAATTGTTCATTATTCATTTATTTATGTCATTAACCTTTATTTTGTTCAGATCAAAAAGCCTAACCAGGGACGAGTGCTGTAAATTAGCTTTTAGCTAGAAGACTTGTGTATCTGTTGCCTATGAGTGATGTTTTGTTGTGTTGTTCCTTGCAAAAATAATTAATAAAACAAAAAATACATAGTCAGTTTGGCTAATTCACTTTAAATTATCTAGCAGCATTTCAAATCTGACTCACATGTGACAATAAATAAGTTCATACAGTACCTGCGGCCACTCTCCATCAGACTTGGCCCTCCGTTTTATCTCCTCTACAGTTTTCCTTCTCGAGTCCTGGTCGGACCGAACCACGTACACGGGTCTGATGTAGTTGATCAAAGCTGGGGGAAGTGAGGAAGAGACACATTTGGAAGGCAACATGAGAGGGAAAACAAAACAACACATCAGAAAAGGGGTGCAACAATACATGCATCTGTATCTAACCATTCAATACACACTATGTATGGAACAATACAGATTTTTTTAAATTTATTTCATCAACTCGTCTTCTGAAGATGATCTGTGTTGAAGCCTCAGAGGATCTGCGTTGACAACTCCACCTAGGCTGCATTGTCGAGTGCAGATCCACTGAGAAACATGCTTTTCAGCAACATTTAATTTAAGAACTGTACTTTTGAGGTTAAACAAATGGGTAACGCTCTCTTTTAATGTACCCTTATTACCATGTAATTACAATAAAAAAAAATAAAAAATGTAACTAAATGTAATTTCTACCTTATTAGCATGTAATTACATAGTGATTAGGGTACAATTTTACTATGTAATTAATCGTCTGCAGTAATGTAGCACTTACCTGGTAATGTATAACAATTCACTATGTAAGACCTAAATAAGTAGTAGGTAATTTGGACAGTTTTAAAGTTAGATTTTATTGCAATTAATCACTAACCCCAAAATTTAGTTGCATCCTTTTAGTTATATAGTGTTGAGTTACTATTGAATAGTAATTTGACTGTAGTTACCCAATAAAGATAGTTTCACTAACAGTAGTTTTTCTTTTGTACCCTAATTACCACATAATTACATGGTAAAAAGGTAGTAGTTACATTTAATTATATTTTTATTACCTTGTAATTACATAGTAATAAGGGTACCATAAAAGAAAGCGTTACCAACAAATATTCATAATTAATTTCAATAAATTACAAGTTAAGAAGGGCATGGGATTTTTCTTTTTCAAAAAAATATCGAACCATGACACTAAAGTATCGAACCGAATCGTTAATTTTCTGTATCGTTGCAGCCCTGCATCAGAACTGTTGCACATGAAAGAAGCAAACATATGACAAACTGGTTTACATTGTGCAGTTGAGAGAGTTTCAAGCTTTGTCAAGTCCAAATTAATGACCTGGATTGATCTAAATCCATCAATCAGTCAAACAAGTATTCCAAATTTCACAATTCGTATACGCACAAGCCCAAACCTTTGAGACATTGCGTAACCAAACAGAATGCAAATGTAAGAAGGGACAAATATGTAAAATTCAGTTTTAAATAGATGTTATTTTGAATGTGATGTAGAAATAAGGCCATTTTTTCACTTCTTGAAACAACTCTCTCAACATACTACAGTTAAATTCAAACAAGACTGAGACTCTTATATAAATCCCTGTAATCAAGCAGCACCTTACTTAATTAGCTCCTTCGGTGAAAAATAGTCTTACAAATCTGGGTGTTGTTTTCAACAGTCCCTTGTCTTTTGACACTCATTGTAAAACGTTAGTTTGTAACTGTTTTTTTTTTATTTGAGAAATATTTCAAAGCTGAGATCGTTTGTGTCACAGAAGGCACTAGAAATGGTTGTTCACAATTTTATTTATTGTTGTTTAAATTACTTTAACAGCCTTTGCATATGTCTAAACAAATCCTCCTTGGCTCGCCTTCAGTCTGTGCTGAGGTTATTAACAAAGGCACAAAGAGCCCACCTAACTCCTGTTTTGGCCTCTGTACTGGCTCCCTGTGCATTTGAGGAATCACCTTAAAATTTTGGTTTAAACCTTTTAGAGCACTTCATGGTCCGGCCCCCAAATAAATTTACTTACTGAAAAATGATTTGTGTTTTATACTCCTGAGTATAACATTTACTTTGTTATGCTGCAAGGTTTTAGTTTCATAATGAGTGACAGGTCTAGGTCTTGCTTAAGGAAGCAATTTTCACAAAAGAAGGTCTGTTTTAAGGGCAGTACTGCCAGAGGGGAGAACATTAACCACCTTTAAGAACCGGTTTTACTGGCTTTTTACTTTGCGTTTTTCAGATTCTTAGAATTAATCATGTGTTTCGGTACTATTTTGATTAAACCTTTTTTTAAATTTTGTAGTTTTTGTTTAACTGGAACAAAACCAAGTCTTCCAGCAAGTCAGGAACTCCATCATCCTGCATTATGTATGCCTTTTATCTATACTCTTCTTTTTCCCCATTATGTTAACCAGACGTTAGAGTGAAATTGTACTTACTGCCCCAGACTGGTACACTCCTGCTCTCATGCTTGCCAACTATAGAGCACATCATCATGGTGACTGGGATGGCATCGAAGTAGGAAGAATGTGGCGCCGCAGCGAGAATGGGAACCTCGGAGGGTGGAGCTCGGTCCCCTTTCACCTTGATCCAATGGAAACCGCCACAAAACCACATGGCTCGCATGATGGCCCAAATACAAAGATGGATAATTCTGATGAAGGACACGCATTTTACAAAGTGTCATCCAACAACTCAGATTCATACTTTAGGCTACACAAAGGTTTTTCAGGAGACACCAATAAGAAATGGGCAGATAAAAAAGCCTAGCTTTGGTAACTTGAAGTTTTTGAAAATATTTGCATGATAGTGTTATTTTCTTGTTAAAAGTCTATCTCCAACACACCTCCTCCACCACGACTGTGGCTCAACAACAAAATCCGAGCGCCCCAGGGAAGCCGCGAAGGCGAAGGGCCATGCCAACAGCATAAGGAAAGAGACGAGCAGCAGCCGCACTGGGAAAACTGTAACCGACATCAGTCCGATCTGAACAGAGAGAAATGACACAGGACACCAAATGACTGCACTACCAAACTCTGCTGTAGCTTTTTAGATCAAAGACCATTAACCCCAAATTTATAAAGACATTCAGACACAGCAGAGACATTTTTAGTTCATCCTTGAGACTAAATGTAGACCCACATTCCATGTGAGCCTTCAGGAAGGAACAAACCATCCATCAATATTCAGTGCTAATAACACATTCCTCATGAGAAGGACGTTGAGGATACATTCGTTCAAAACAAATTTAGGTTAACTCTATTAGTGCTAAGTAAAGTTAGATGAAGAACACGTATGTTTGAGCAGACAAAAGAAAAGGCAAACAAAACAAGGGATTCTCAAGTAATTAACTTTATTCTGTAGTTCAGGTTGTACTGTATTTAATGGTGTTTGGTCAGTAATCCAAGTCAAAGAAATTATTTACAGCAAAGGCATGTTGCGTGCCAAGGTGACGTTACAGTTCACTTCATTCTAGACATTTTTACAGGAAGTTACTTCTGCTTTGCATTAAAACAGCTCAACTGGAGAAATATGAAGCAGCCTGAAGAAAATGTCCCACTCTGTCAATAGCGCCGACTCTTTTTCAGCAAATTTAGCTTCAGGGTGCTCTGGTGGAAAATTAAATTCACATTTTGGTCACTTTTGCCTGCAGGTTGGACATAGCTTAACCTCTTGAGCCCCATGCAGAACAGCATTTCCCGTTTTCTATATCTTTTAACTTGTTAACTTAAGATCTGTAAGTTAAACCTGGACATGTTTGGTATCAATAGAAAGCTAAGAATCTTGGCTAAAAGCTCAACCCATGGGTGTCAGAACCATTTTAAAAGTGTGTGTGTGTGTGGGGGGGGAGCACACAGGTCTGGGTGGGGGGTCTGGGGGTCCTCCCCCATAAAATATTGAACAAAATAGATATGCCATTTCCTGCATTCTGGTGGGTTTTTTTTTTTACCAGGTTCTTAAACATAAAATTACATACATAAATAAACACTTGATTTAATTATTATTTCAGAGACAGATTCTTCATTAAACTAGTTCTATCATCCTGTTTAAAACTCACTGCTACAGCTGAGATAAGGTTAATTAATGTGACACAGTTTAACATATCCAGTGACTTTAGGGGTGCCTTTCACTTTCATATTGTTTATTCTTGATTTATTTTAAATTGTAACACGTCATTGTGCCAAATGACCATTAACTGCATGTTTAAAACCAATAATCACTTTACCCAGTGAACAGGTGCAATATTGATAACCACCAACAGTGAATTTAGAGGGGCATTTCACTTTTTATGATTTAATGATAGGTTTACTCATAACCAAAAGGAACAGGACATCATGCAGCTTTCAGAACATAAAACGACACTGTGTTATGGTGACAAAAAAATTAAAACAAAAAACCTTTGTCAGTTTTGTCAATCTGCATGTAATTATTAAAGCAAAACTAGGCCTACAGGTTCCTTCCGACCCTGGTACCACCTCAGTTTCTACCACATCCTACTTACAACATTTTAATAAGCCCATAATTTTTATACTATTCAAAATATAATAAATTCAGTTTAAACATGCTGTAGATTATGCCTTTTAATCAGTAATGTATTTAATAAACTTCACGCAACTGTTTAGAATGGACTCAAAATAAATACTGACTTGAGTAAACATTTTAGATTTCATTCATAATTTCCCAGCAGCACCTTCATCTTCATCATCATCACTCACCTGAGCCACAGAGCTCTGTTTCTACCTGCTGACCCTGACTCTCATCAGCTCCTGCATCACCTGAAGATGGATTAAACATTAGTTTTTTTTATTACYAGCTGAAGTCAGTCAGCTTTAAAAAGTCAGAAAATATCATGAAATGTGATGAATAAATAACAGATGACTATCTGGTCTGGTTTCATCAGTGATTGTGAGCCAACAGTGTCATCATCTGATTATTAAAGTTTTCAGACATGAACCAAGCTCTGTTTTATGCTTAAAATATTCTGATAATAAAAAATCTACTCTCACAATATGTTAGTATGCAATTGTTTTGTACTTTAATAAAAAAAACACCAAATGATCTTCTGATGTGATCTTGTTATTCTTGCTGATAATAATATCACCAGCTGATCACTCTGTACTTTAGAAGATGTTTTAAATTACATTAATTGGTGGTGAAATGTAAGCTAGCTGTAGCCAGTGGCTAACTGCATTAACTTTACACAGGATAAATCTGTCCTGTGGAGAGTTAAACTTACTTTCTGTTTCTCTGTAAAACATCTCCTAATGTCCTGTGTCTGTGGAGGAATATAATCACACACGCTGCCTTCTAGAAGCAGCTAGAAGTTAGTTTTAGGTTGAATATTTGCACTCCTGGAATTCACCATCATCTACCTCCCATCTAACCCAGTGGAGGCAGCCTGACACCGGTCATCTCCGACTCCGGCTGCTCGTTCCCATTAGTACCTGCTGCAGACTGCGGTGCTGACTGCAGGTAACCAGGAATGGAGCGGACTTTTAGTGTGATGAGTTTTCTCCTGTCAATCAAATGGATTCTTTCATCAAGTCACCTAACAAAAACAGCGCTGGGTGAACTGATGAGACGAATGTGGAGGGGTCCAAACAGATACTTTTGAAAAGTGGGGGGGACACGTCCCATTCACTTACTATTGTTGTGACGCCTATGGCTCAACCCCTAACCATACATTAGCCATCTTTCTGGTAATAAAGACCAGTTTAACATGCTCGTGCTGTTAGACAACATTCCTGTTTTTATTTGTGACTTATCTATGAAATACTGTGCACAAGTTGTAAAAGCAGAAAATATTGAAATTTATGATAAAAGGCCAACTTAAATTTAAAAACTACACTAACGTGAGAGTTTAAAGCTGGATGTTATCACCTGAAGCACCAAAGGCAGGTTATTTCTAAAAGATAAGTATTGCATTTGTTTTACATCCACTTTTTTTTTCCAAACAAGGTCACTTTACATTTAAAATATTGCCAATTTTGTCTTCTTTCACCCAGTGTGCCGCTCACTGTTACAGGACTTGTGATTTAAACCCTCTCAGAGACCAGACGACACACCTTCAAGCTCTTAATGAATCTATTGCTTAGGAGCTCATGATTTTCTATTCAAAACTAGAATAAAAAGTTGTTTTTTATTTGTCCTATTTCCTACATAAAATTGTCAAATTTACAGCATGCCAGCCTTTGACCCAATGAAAACCCAGTTGCTCTAGTTTGCACTATTCACTTTTAAAGCTACAATACATAGATAAGCAAAAAAGAGCTTCATTTCTTCGATATTTTTGAACATCATCCATCATCTAAAAGTGCCCAGTTCATTCGGCATTAGAAGTTTTTTCTCTTCAACTTCTCAAATTACAAACCAAGATTTGTAAACCTCATGTTTTGGAAGTGAATTTATTCACTGTGAGTGCAGTGCAGATTTTGCATACGTATTACACAAATAATACATCCCACAGAACAGGAGATAGTCATTTATGCTCTCCGTAAAGAGAACTCTGCCACAGGGAAACGTCTGACCACATGTTCATGGCCTTCATGGTTACACAGAACACAAAGCAACACATATTCATCATAATTCTCCAACTGTTCTCACTGCTGCCTGGAGGATGTCAGATGAGACAACAGGAGGAGACATTAAAGCTAATTAGAGAAAATTCATTGTGCTGAATTACTGATTCAAACTGCCAATGAAACAAAATGTTAACGCTAAAAATAGTCAAAAACTGTCTAAAAGCTAAATGTAGCTAAGAGCTAGCTTGAAACTAACAGCAGCAAAATGCTACAAAAAACCTAAGTAAAAAATAAAGTAAGCAGAAGCTGATTAAAAAAACTGACAATATCTCAATATATAGTACAATATTTTGGAAAGTATTAAAAAAATAAAGAAATAAAAACTATTGCACCATCTCCTCAGTGAGTTTTTACAAAGTAAGTTGTGTAGTTAGAAGGGTTGTGTATAGAGTCATGAGTATGGATTGGAACCGGGACTAACGTTTCCTCTCTCCCAGAACCGTTCAAATTATATAATTTTGATCCCTAGTTTCAATACAATGAACATGTTTGCTAATTGTTGCTGCCGATAGCCTGTAGGAGGCGTGGGGGAGGCGTGTTCTCTGATGAGGAAGCTCAGCTTGGAGACAAAACCCAGAGGAGGAGTTGCACCTAAAAGGCGGTTCTAGTCCCAACTGACCGTTTTTGTTCCCCTGCCTGGCTGCCTCAGGCAGGACAGCACAGGATTTCTTAAACATGCAAGAGTGAGTCAAATCAACACTGTGTAAGGCTACGTTCACACTGCAGGCAAATACGACCCAAATCTGATTTTTTTGACCCATCTGACTCATTTCCGATTTTTTTATGACAGTCTGAACGAGACAAATACGATTTTTTCAAATCCGACCCAGGTCGTTTCAGTATGTGGTTTTAAATCGGATACATATCTGATGTTTTCAAAGTGACTGCAGTGTGAACGCTCATGTCACATTCATCTGACTTTTTCATCAGGAGGAGGGGGTGAAGGATCAATAAGACACTAACCTCAAGTCTCGCTGTTTAAATCTGTAGCTCCATGTGTTTACAGCTCCAAAACACAAGTCCAGTTGCTTCATCTTTTTACTTTTCATTTTCCACGTAGATAGTTTGATAATAACATGTCCAGCCTGGGTCGCGGAGAGTATCGATCCTAAAGTTAGCTACTCGGTCTATACTTTTCTCCAGCTCCTAGTTTCATTCAAAAAAAGCTTCATTGGAGCATCCCGGTCAGAGGCAGGTTCAGATATAAACAGTGAAATAAAGAAGCATGTCAGATAATTATTTAATCGGCTCTGATTAAACAACATCTTCCGATTCGATGTGCAAAATGTAGCATCCATGCTAGCTCTGTAAACAAACAAGCCGGCTGATGAGACGTCACGTCTTTTACTGCGCATGCGTGTCACGTCAGTGCTGTGTAGCGTTCACACAGGGGTCTGATGCAGGTCACATTTAAAATGTAATGTGAACGTTCACACAAAAAGATCGGATTTTTTCAAAAAATCGGAACTGAGCATTAAGACCTGCAGTATGAACGTAGCCTATGTTTTTGATGAGGGGATAACATAACATGATAAAAAGCTCAAAAACTTGATTTTACGATATTGCCTAGGGCTGCAACGATTAATCGATTAATCGACGACTAATCGATTATTAAAATAATCGATGACTAATTTAATAATCGATTAATCATTTTCTTTTTTTTTTGTTCTTTGTTTTTCTCTCCAAACTGCTTTGACACCTTCCACTGCCACATCTGCCTTTCTGTCCTCGACACATATGCACAGTAGTGGTAACTGGGGTAGGCCGTGGACGTCACAAGACATTATACAGACAGGCTCTGGTATCATGGCTACCTGGCAATGAAGCTTAAATTAAGCTCCAAGTGTGATATCATTTTAAGAAAATGAAAGAGAAGCCTGTGCAATATCTGCCTTGCACAGCAATTATTTTTAGTTAGCATATAGCTAAAATCTAATGATGGTTATAAAATAGCAGCTGCATTCTGGCACGATAAGCTCTATGTTTTATATTCAATTAACGTATCATCCGATTAGTCGACTAATCGGAAAAAAATAATCGGTGATTAATCAATTATAAAAATAATCGTTTGTGGCAGCCCTAATATTGCCCCTTTAATACCTACAGCATCAGACACTGAATATGTGTCAATGTGTTTCCATAAGGTCTTTAAAAGTAAAGCTCTCTTGTGAAAGTGCACACAGCAGAAAAAGTCTATGTAACCAAGTCTTACAACCTTATATTCAGCCAAAAACTATTTTTGATCTCGTTTTGAGACTGATATACTAAACAAGAGCAGAATGTGTTAGATTATTAATCTTGTTCAATTCAATTCAATAAAAATACTTTATTGATCCCAAAGGGAAACTACAGAAGCCTAAAATTGTCTTTATGAGGTCTTACCAAGTGCAATTCTCTTACTTCACTGGCAGATTATTTCACTTTGAGTCTGAATCTTCTCAAATTAAGTGAATTAATTTGCCAGTGTAGTAAGACTTGTAATACTTGGTTAGATGGACTATTTTTGCAGCTAACTTTTCAAAGCACTGCTTCAAAAAGGAATCTGGAATTGTTGGGAACCGGAATTGAAACGAGGAACTGAAATCGCTCAAATTCAAACAGTGCCAAACCCTAGTAATGTTGAATCAGCACTCATACAATTATACTAATTTTCCTCAATGCTCTTCCATATTTTGCCACATTAATACAAAATTTCTTATTTCTAAATTGAGTTGTTAAATAATTTATGCAGAAATATAAGATATTTTAATATCTAATAAAACCACAGAAAATTCATATCATATTCTCCCTTTTTATGTGGCCAGAGTGGGATTCATTTCCAGTCTAAAACTGTGCTACTGAGTTACCATCATTGTAATAACGTGTGCTGAAACCTAACAAAGATGAGAAGGCAGTTGTCTGATCTGTGCTCATTTCTCTTCCTGTGTGATGAGACGTGTCGGTGTGAACAGACTAACAGGGTCATAGACTCCAGTTTCAGTTAAGACAGGCATCTGAAACCACTTCCTCCTGACTGTCTAGCCTCTGCTCAACCCAAAGGTATTCCTCTGAGCCACCATGAATTCATTTCTCTCTCCCTCTTCATACAGGTTAGCTTAGCTGGGTATTCATCTTTCATGACAATCATGCGCTTTTTGTCACTACTCTTGGGACTC